TAGGTAGATGAAAGTATCCTAAAACTTTTTTGTCTCTCTAAAATTTTTCCAAAAACGACTAATTTTTGAGAAAAAAAATAATAAAGCAAACACTGCCCGTTCAACAACGGGGTTGTCGATCAAAAGTTGGAATGAATTTTTAATGAAAATATCTTGGTAGGCTTTGCAATCTTTGTCAGAAATATTTTTGACGTTTAAATGTCAGTGGTTTTCTTCCTATTATTATTGTTTTTCAAATTAATTTATGAATAAAGTTCTACCGCGTTTACGCTCGTTCACTCGACGTTTCAAAATTTTAAATAAAACAATAATAATAATAAGAAAACCACTGACATTTAAACGTCAAAAATATTTCTGACAAAGATTGCTAAGCCTGCTAAGATTTTTTCTTTAAAAATTCATTCCAACTTTCGGTTAACAACGCTACAGCTTAACAGTTAGTGTTTGTTTAATTAATTTTTTTCTCAGAAACTATTAACTTTTCGAAGAACATCAGAGAGGCAAAAAAGTTTTAGAATATTTTCGTCTATCTAAATAAAATATTTCCAATGTATTTATCATCGTCATAAAAAAGATCTAGACAAAAATTGAACGGGGGTGGTTATGTTTAGTAACTTAGAAGGGAAGATTGAAAGTACAAATAGGCTCGAAACATGCCCTATTATAAGCTAAACATATTTCCCAAATTTCATTTTCTTAGTGTTAATGGTTTTCGGGAAAAAAAAATAAACCAAAATTTTTCGCCATTTTTGTAGGGGCGTAGCTCCGCAGCGGAGTCGAAATCGCTGATAGTTTATATGAGAAAGTACCCTTAAAATTGCCTAAAGAATCACCCCCTGAAGTTTGGGCACGTCATTCAGATACACCCTGTATATAGGTGTTCATTTCAAAACTTTCCACCTCAATTTCTGTAAATCCGGAAGTTTAAAAAGAAAATCGCTGAAATAGGTAAAGAATAAAACCAAGGGGGACAACTTTTTATGCAAAAATTGACTCACTCACTTCAACCCCCCGCCGCCAGAAACCAACCCCTTAAAAATCTTAAATGGAAAGGGGTGTCAAGTGATACCTCATTTTAAAGGTCTTTTAAGGTACTACATGTTAGTATTTATTTTTTTTAAATTGATCGATTCGTTTTCGAAATTTTTGCGAAAATCTTTGTTTTGTATTTCCCGCTTTAATTAATATTAAAAACTTTAATCACCTTCTTAAAAGCAAGAATAAGTAATCTTTTATTATTAATTTATAAAATTAAATTACCATGTTCGTTTTTACAACGACCATTAAACCTTTATTATTTCGGAGCAATCGGAAATATTTAAGAAAACTAAACACGTATAATTATGAATTAAACTAAATTTTATTGAAAGTATTTTACATTAAACCTGTATGAAAATTACTCTTGACTCGAATGGCCAAAAAAAGGAAAAAAAGAGACGAAATTTTTCTCTTTCTATAAACGAGTTATAGGCAGGCTCACAGTGCGAGAAAAGAATAAAATAAAAGTGCAATTCTAAACATAAGTTTATTTGGTTATTACTTAAACAACTTTGTGTTATCCACTTAACAAAGTTATTTAAATAAAACAGCAATAATGGTTTACAGTTTGCAGGAAAGGATTGAAATTGTATTAATGTATGGATCCCAAAATGAATGTGCTCGACGAACTGCCGCAGTTTTTAATGAAAGGCATCCAGATCATGAAGAAATTCACTCAGACTGGGTCCGTTGCCAACATAAAACATAATGAGTCGAGAGTTTTGAATGAAACCGCTCAACTGGAAGTGTTGGGTCATTTCGGTATCAACCCCAATACTTCATTGCGTCAGGTATCTCGTGCAACTGGTATATCCTTGGGTTCTGTTCATAAAGTTGTAAAACTTCACAAATTCCATCCTTATAAATTGAAAATACATCAAGAGCTAACTGAAGACGATTTTGACAGGAGAATACAGTTTTGTGAAGAAGTGACCACTATTATTAATAATAACAACGTTTTTGTGAAAAATATCTGCTTTAGTGATGAATGCACTTTTTCTTTAAATGGATTTGTAAATAAACATAACTGCAGATATTGGAGTAATGAAAACCCTCATCTGACTGTAGAAGGGCATACACAATATCCTGAAAAAGTTAATGTATGGGCCGGCATTTTGGGAGACCAAGTGATTGGTCCAGTGTTTATCGATGGAAATTTAAACGGCGAAGTGTACTTGGATATGTTAGAAAATACTATCAATCCACTAATTACGGAAGCTCTCGAGAATCAGTTGGATAGAGAAGAAAATGCCTTACTTGATGAGAATGAATTACATTTTCAACAAGACGGAGCTCCTCCTCACTATGTTCTCCCAGTACGACAGTGGTTAGATAATACGTTTCCAAACAGATGGATAGGACGAAGAGGTCCTATAGAATGGCCAGCCAGATCACCAGATTTGACGCCATTAGACTTTTTTTTATGGGGTCATTTAAAGTCTGTTGTATTTACCCCTCAACCTCAAAATTTAGAAGAACTTCGTCAGAGAATTACTGCAGCTTGCCGTGGAATTCAAAGGGAAGTTTTTGAAAATGTGCGCCGTAGTTTTGAACAACGGTTGTACCATTGTTTAGCTAATAACGGACAACACTTTGAACAATTATTAAGTTGATTTTCTCTGCAAAAAGTTTTTGTACATAATTAAATAACTGAAAATAAAATAGAACGTTTCAAGCAGTTAAAAGTTGTTTAAGTAATAACCAAATAAACCTAAAAGAAAAGAAAAATGAAACAGAAATCGTTTTTTCTAAATATCTCTGACAGACGCCAGGCAAGCTAGCCAACGTAGGTATATCATTGTCAAAATAACCTAAATATCAAAGATTTCGGATTGCTCCGAAATAATAAAGGTTTAATGGTCGTTGTAAAAACGAACATGGTAATTTAATTTTATAAATTAATAATAAAAGATTACTTATTCTTGCTTTTAAGAAGGTGATTAAAGTTTTTAATATTAATTAAAGCGGGAAATACAAAACAAAGATTTTCGCAAAAATTTCGAAAACGAATCGATCAATTTAAAAAAAATAAATACTAACATGTAGTACCTTAAAAGACCTTTAAAATGAGGTATCACTTGACACCCCTTTCCATTTAAGATTTTTAAGGGGTTGGTTTCTGGCGGCGGGGGGTTGAAGTGAGTGAGTCAATTTTTGCATAAAAAGTTGTCCCCCTTGGTTTTATTCTTTACTTATTTCAGCGATTTTCTTTTTAAACTTCCGGATTTACAGAAATTGAGGTGGAAAGTTTTGAAATGAACACCCTGTATATCATCTTTCTTATGAATATCTTTTTATGTTGACTTGTACTATGCCAGTGTGGCGATTTTGTATCAATAAATATTATTATTAATTGTTTTTTATTTTTATATATGTTTACCGAAGTTAGTTACCGAAGATAACTGAAATAAACCAAAATAAACGTTTTTGAATACATAAATTAAAAGAAGAAATTTGGCCGCCATATAAAATTGTGAGAAAGTTGAGTGTAGACCATTCTAGTTAATTTTTTAATTTTTATAACATATTTTTATTTACAAATTATTTTATACCAAATTCGAATTATGTACTTACCCTTTGATATTAAAATTGAAAATATTTAAATTAAAAAACCTCTAAATATTTAATAATAACAATATAAATCTCTAAACATTTTAGCTTTGATAATTTTATACTTTAAAAAATATACAAGAAATTTATAAAAATGTAAACGTGCATTTGAGCCAAGATTATTGTTTAATTATTATCTTTTTTTTTATCGTACTTATTTACATTCCTTTTTGTTTACGAAATTTTCAAACAGTACGTGTTCAATTACAATAAACAGTGTAATAAAAGAAGCAACTTTGTGTAACAAATTTAATGCGAGCTATTAACGTCCGTTTTAAAAAAAACAACCAACGAAAAAGGAATATTAAATCATGTAATATAATCAAATTGCGATATCAGCGCAAATTAATACCGGAAAATTTATATATCATTCAAACAGGAACGGGCGAGAGAATCAAAATTCTGCTAGTTCATTTTAATTTTAAATTAAAGAACACATAAAAATCTTTAATTTATAAATCTTTATACAGGATAATTTAAGAAATTTTCAATAAAATATTTTTTCTTTAAGATTTATGTAAAAAAATTTAAATCTTTTCTAATATTTGAATCACTCGGAGGTATAAATATGTAAAAAAGAAAAAAATCCGTAGGCAGTTTAAAAATAATTTAAATTTATTTAAAAATATTGCACGTCGTAATAAATTATGTTTGTAAAATCGCTTTGTCAACGTCGAAATTTAATTCACCGCGGCGTGAAATTTAATTCTATGGTCCTCGAAGGTATCGCAACCATTTTCAGGATCATTTCAATCTCTTTCTGATTATTTTTTAACGTTACATTAAATATTTTTACTATTTCCGCTAATGTAATCATTATTTGCGCCTCGGCTATTCTTCTACCTATACAAGATCGAGCACCGATGGCGAATGGTAAAATTTGTTGCATCGAAACATCGTTTGTTCTCATCCATCTTTCCGGTTTAAATTCGTTTGAATTTTCGTAATAATTCGAATCTCTCCCTGTGGTGTATATCGACGCGATTACTAGAGTATTCTTTGGAACTTTGTACCCATTCAAAATCGTATCTTGAGCTAGGAATCTTGTTAGAAATGGCGCAACCGGATATAAACGTAATCCTTCTTTAAAAATTCCTTTTAAAATTGGTGGGTTGGGCCCACTTTTTAAAGATTTAAATAAATTATTTTGAACATTTTGATGTTTACCGATGAGGTAAAGAATAAATTCCATTGAATGTGATGTTGTATCACCAGATGCTATGATTAAATCGGTTACAATTTTTGTTAAAGTTTCCATATCGAAAACTGTTAACATTTTTGATAAAAGACCAGTGCTATTTTTTGAATAATCTTTAACTAAAATTTCAACTAAATTTTTGGTGTTATCCAAAGCTGTTGTTACTGTGCTTTCAAATTGTGTCCATTGAGGTAGATTTAAAGTTGACGCTAATTTCGCTGGGATTATACTAAATTTACAAGTTTTTTCGAAAATTAAATGAACAACTTTTGATAAATCTTCGATATCTTCTCGGATGAAATGTTTATTTTTTTGATAACTTTCGGCGCCTAAAAGAACTGAAATTAACGTTTCTAAAGACCAAGTATATAAATTTTCTTCTAACTTGTTGTGATTGTTAAGGAATCGCTTTAATAAGTCTTCTACAACGACCATGCAAGAATCGTCGATCCATTTAAAATCACCTCTCAGTAAAAACTTATTCATTATTTTTCGATTTTTTAACCATTCTTCGCCATTCATAAAGAACAATCCTCGTGAACAACCATGAGTTTCATTGTAAAGTATCCATGGATCGGGGAAAAAATGTGTGGGATATTTACCTTCGTTAGCAAACAATGTTCGAATATCATTCGGATTTGATATAAAAATAGCACTAGTTGGCCCAATTGTCTCTTTAAAGATAGACCCCAATTGGTGATGTCTTTTATCGATGTATTCGTGAAGTTTTCTTCCAGACCCCGACATCAAAAATGATAAAGTTGTTCCAAAAATTGGTAATGATTTTGGTGATGGGATATCATCGATGGATTGAACTAGTTCTGTGGTACTTGCTGTGTTTAAATGATGACGTTTTGTTTTGATTATTGATAGACACTCGCGCGCAATGATTCTTTTTGTTGTTTTAACGAGCATTGTTTGTGCGACTTGTTTCTTCCTCACTTGGTGCCGTACTGTTCTGCGGCTTTGACCTACGACCGAGAGACGACTGTGGAGGCAATGAATAGGTTGGATGGCGACCCGCTATCTGCCTAACCTTACCACAATCGGTTGAACGTCTATTCCACAGCGAGTTTTAATAATTTATTAAAATTTATTTTTTTTTAATTATCTTTTAGTTCTGCGTCATTTAATCTTGTTCAACAGGTTAATTTTAATTTAAATGTATTTTTTGATAAATTTAGATCCGTTTATTATCGAAAAATAAAAAAATCTTTTGTCTGAACGATCTTGTCGCGGAATGGAAGGTGAAAGAAGTAAACGGACCCGGAGATAAACAGTTATACAGCGCGTTTTTTTCTGTTGCTATTGCGTTGTTTCGTCTAAATGGACGGTGAGTTTGCGAAAACCAACAGTTACTTAACGGATGAACAGACCAAACAGGAATTAACTATAAGAAATTTATATAAGAATTTGTTCTCAATTCATTTTCTTTTCAACCTTAGCTTCTGTCGCCATTCAACAGAATTACTTATATTAAAGACGTAATTTTTTGTTGGTGAAATTAAAACTCTTATATTAATAAAATAAAACATTGGTGGAACGGTATTCTGTCCAATTTTACAAATTAATAAGCACGTTTTTTTATAGGAGGAGTTTAATTTAACCCGATGTTATCATACTGAGTGGTGGCGAAGGACCGCGCTACCCGCACTCACGATACCAAAAATAAAAATGCTTCTCTCTCGCTTCTTTCGAAACTCTTTCCCCTGCCATTTCAATAATTGTCGCCTGTTTCGTTTAAACAAAAAAAAAACAATAATGCAATTCCCATTTATTCCTCTTTCCTTCAATCCAAAACAAACCCAACCCAAATCTCTTTCAAAATCAACAACTCTCGGTTAGGTTCGGTGTTGTTATTCGGAACCAGGTGGATGCAATCGGCTGGGAATCCTTTAGATTACGAAGGCACACGCAGACGTGTCATTGCAGACCCTTTCGTAGCACGAGCCGCCTGTAAACAGACGGCCCACGCTCGTTTTCCCCTTTTATTATTTTTTTCTTTATTTCTTCCTCTTCCTCCTACTCGTTCGCTTCGACCGACCGAATAAACACTTCGCGACGGATTCCCTTCGACACGCGGTCTAAAGTGTCTGCCCACTCGGACGCACCGTTCAGAATTCTTTCATTATTATAATGCATATTTATTAAGCAAGGCGCGGCTTTTGTTAAAACGAGAAGAACCAAACTAAAGAAACTCAAATATATTTTTTTTTAAGTTAATTTATATCTTAGAGTTCAAATTCTATTTTAAGATAATCGATATATTGTGACTCATAAAAATCTTTATTCTAAAAATTACCCTTGTTTTTCTATAATTATCAGCAACTTATCATATTTAGCAGGATCTATCACCTGGATATTTATCTGTAAGAATCTGATTTCCGCAATTTTGTAATTGATTGTGAATAAAGAAACCAGAATTTTATCATCTAAATTGAAGATACAGAACTCCTTTTTCTTGAACAGTTCTTAAACCAAACTCTAAGGGATGTTGTATCTAACCACGGGTGTTGGAAATCATATTATGAGCACAACGAGACTCTACTACTTGGATATCTACGTGTCTTTGAAATTCCCCAATGAGAACAGTTATCTTTCCTTTATCTAAATCCATTTTGTCTTGATGATATCAACGGCGACAAAAAATAAAGAATTAAATTATGGAACCGAACTATAAATAAAAAACTATATCAATTTGAAAAGAATCCTCTTTGGACCACCCAAAAAAAAACACGACTAATAAACAACCCTACACATAGAATCCTAATACTATAATTATGTACAAAATTGAATCTTTCATTTCTGAAAGAAACTAACAAGGGAAGTGTCACAACTGTGTCTCACCGATTTCGATGCAATTTGGTACAGTCATAGAATGGGCCAAAATAAGGTTCGTACATTTTTTTATACGTGCGGTAAAAGCCCCTGGGGCGAGTTATAGGGGTTGAAAGTTTGGAGAAAAAGTACGTTTTCACTTATATTTTNTTTTAAATAATTCCAAAAAAATAGGGGTAGTTCGCCCTTTTTAACCCTCTGCTATATGTGTGACACATCAAAAGAAAGCTCTTTTAAAATGAATATCAGTTACAATTTACCAAATTTTGATAGCACTTTTCGTTTTCAAAATATAAGTGAAAACGTACTTTTTCTCCAAACTTTCAACCCCTATAACTCGCCCCAGGGGCTTTTACCGCACGTATAAAAAAATGTGCGAACCTTATTTTGGCCCATTCTATGACTGTACCAAATTGCATCGAAATCGGTGAGACACAGTTGTGACACTTCCCTTGTAAGTCACTTTTGGGCTGTTATGACATAGATAGTCTATTTTATGTATTTGACAAAGACGCATCGTTGAGTACAGAGAAGCATTAAATGGACTCCTTATACACGATATCTCAGAATAACTCGCAGGGTGATACTGAATTAATCACTTTCTTTTCGTCAAATGTAATCCCTACGGTTATGGGCATGTTGCTTTCAATTAAAACTAATGCAATTGGTTTCGATGGTATCAATGCAAGAATGCTGGTACTGTGTTGTTTAGTTATCTTGCCTTATACCGAATAGTGCATCTAACGTGAGACAAGCGATTATCTCGAACACGGTTCATTTTACATAAAAATGAACCAAATGAAAGTTGTTCTGTGCGAAGGGGGAAATCATATGACGATAACATTTATTGACCTTGACCTTATTTTCAAGGGCATATGAAGGTCACGGCCAATTTTTTAAATGGCGCCCTATGTTTTTGATTGCTAGATCTGAATCTATGGATAAAAGTAAAATAACTAAAAAGAAGAAAAAAAAATTACCGTGTGGTTTTGCCAGTACGACGGCGAAACATTTTTTGTAGACAAAATCTAAATAATTTTTTTATTCAAATAGTTTTGAATATTGTTTATTTATAAAAAGATGATTATAATCAACAACAAGTATAAAATTTATAATAAATCCCACTTCAATACATTTATTAACCCTTCTACTAAAACTTTCTTTACATCTTAAAAGGTTTTCTTGGCTACTATTTCTGCATGCATTTCTTATCCACTCTTTCATGTTTTCTGGGGTAGTCGGTACTTCGCGATAAACATTATTCTTAAGGACGCCCCACAAAAAAAAAACAAGAGGTGTTAAATCAGGTAATCTGGCAGGCCAGGAAATTGAACCTCCCGTTCCAATCCATCGCCCAGCATAATCCCGATCTAAAGCTTCACGTGCAATATGTGAAAATGTGCTGGACACCTATCATTTTGCAGCCACATATTTTGTCTTTCTTCCCCTGCTCAAATCTAGAAGTAACGTTGGTAAGACGTCATCTAAAAAATTTCGGTACTTCTCCCCATTTGGCATACCATCATATGGACCGATCAATTTATCACCAATTATGCCACACCAAACATTAACCGACCAAGGTCGTTGATGTTCTACTTCACGCAACCATCTTGTAACTGTTTGTAAAAGTAGACTCATCCGAGAATAGCACGTTATCAAAGAAATTGACGTCCAACCGCATTCGTTCTTGTGCCCATTGACAAAATATTAATCGATTTTCAAAATTACCTCCATAAAGCTGTTGACGCAATGAAATGTGGTATGGGTGATACTTGTTGCGCTCTAATATTCTTAAAATGCTGGTCTTTGATATTCCGGCGTCAATTGCAAGTCGTCGAGTGCTAACTTGAGGATTTACCTCAACGCTAGCTAATACCGCAATTTCCTTTTCTTCTGTAGTTACAGTTGCTCGCCGAGTTCTTTTTTTTTGATCCCACATTTCCAGTGTTAGTGAAATCATTCACAACTCTGTAAAAGGTACTTCTCGAAGCCGTATTTCGATCAGGAAAACGTTTTCGATACAAAGCTGTACTATCAGCAACTTTTCTACCACTTTCTCCATAAACAAAAGTCATTTCGACTTTTTCTGCGACACTTAGAGTATCCATGATTTAATGACTTAGTTTAAACACTTTGCCTTAATGTAAAACGATGGAATGAATTCAGAATTTGTTGCCAAGCAGTTTTTATGCAAATTTAGTTTTACCTGTCACATTTTAAAACAATTCAACCAATTAAGTCTCTGAAAGCGATATTCTGAAAATGCCGACATAAGCAGTTCCACGAACTCTTGTTTTTTTTGCGGTATTCTATTATCAAATTGATAAAGGTGGAGAAATGTTGGAACCTTTTAGACCTCTTTCCAAAGGTATTTCCGACGAGCCAGGTCACCCGATGTACCTCTTCTGGATTTTATAGTATTCTAAGAATTAAGAACTAAAGGCAATGTATCAAAGCGGGTAGGAAAATGTTTAAAAATTCATAAATCTTATTTGTTCTTGCTAGATTATAAACGTTAGTTAATTGTTTCTGAAGAAATTTCAATTTTTTTCAAAAGATAGAAGGTACTCGAATGTACTGGCAAAACCACACAGTAAATTTTTTTATTTTTGTTTTAATTACTTTACTTTTATCCACAGATTCAGATTTTACAATAAAATATATAGGGTGCAATTAAAAAAATTGATCGTGACCTTCATATCACCTTGAAAATAAGCTCAAGGTCAAAAAATGTTATCGTCATATGGTTATCCCCTTCGCACAGACCAACTTTCATTTGGTTCATTTTTATGTAAAATGAACCGTTTTCGAGATAATCGCTTGTCTCACGTTAAATGGATCACCCTGTATGTCACATCAACTATTGTCTTGAGTTTTATGTTTTTTCAGATTGCTGGAAGGTTGCTGTGGTTGTACCGATACCGAAGACTAATCCTTCCAATCATAATGATTTAAGACCGATCAGTGTAATATTCTGATCGGTATATTAAATCATCAGTATCTGCAATGTCTAAGATTTTAGAACGGATTGTTGCTTGTCGACTAAGATAATATTTAGAAACTTTTCCATATTCCCTGATACCTAGTCTGGTTTTAGAGCGATTTACAGTTCTGCTACTGCCCTCTTGGAAGTTATTGATACTATTATCATAAGAAGGAATATTGGCAGGGTCACGGTTCTTGTTCTGCTTGACTTTTCTAAGGCATTCGATAC